AAAATTCTATTGCAGCTGGGTATGGTGGCTCATGCCTATAATCTCAGCAATCAGGAGGCTGAGGCAGGAGGATCGCTGTGAGTTCGAGACCAGCATGGGCTACATAGTGAGTTCTAGGTCAGTCTCAACTACATAGTGAGACCCTGTCTCAAAATACTCCCCCCACAAAAAAAATCTATGGATTAGAATCCAAAAGAATAAAAAATTAGGAATAAATTTAACAAAAGTATAACACTTACACAAAAAAATTACAATACCATTCAAAGATATTAAGGAATTAGTGGAAAGAGAGCCCATGTCCACAAATAGAGGTTTCTGTTTTCTGAGACAGGGTCTCATTATACTTCAGGCTGGCCCTTGTACTCACTGTATAACCCAGGCTGGCCTCAAACTCACAGCAATCCTCCTGCCTCAGCCTCTTGGGTGCTGGGATTACAAGCATGTGCCACCCTGCCTGGCTACAATTAGAGTACTAATACTATTAAGATGGCAACACTTCCCAAATTGAGCTAGATTCACTGGCATCTCTAATCCCACCAATTTCTTTATAGAAACTGAAGAGCTAAAAGCATTCAAATTCGAAAGGAAGAAGTAATATTTTTATTTACAACTTATCTTATAAACAAAAATCCAAAGATTCCACAAGAAAGCTACTAGAGATGATTTGCAAAATTGTAAATTAGAAGATGGGCCTGATGGTGCATGCCTGTAATTCCAGCAATCAGAAGGCTGAGGAAGGAGGAGCATGGACTACCTACTAAGTTCAAGGTCAGCCTGAACTACATAGCAAGACTTTGTCTAAAGGAGAAAAAAAAATCTTTTGTTTAGAAAATCCAATATACAAGTGCCAGTAGTGCTTTGATACACCAGCAGTGAACACTCTGAAAGAAAATTAAGAGCCGAGGATTTAGCTCAGCGGTTCGGTGGCCTGCCTTGCAAGAGCAAGGACCTGAGTTCAATCCCCGGTACCAAAAGAAAAAGAAAATTAAGAAAGAAGACGTGGTTTTTCTATAAAATGGAATATTACTCAGCCATAAAGAATGAGAAAATAGATTCATTCATAGGAAAATGGATACATATTGAAGATATACTCCTAAGTGAAATAAATAAGGCACACGTGTAAATACCGAATAGTTTCTCTGGTGTGAATAATCTGCAATAATACAGAAGATCCAAATAAGATTACTGACATTGAGAAATGGGAAGAAAGGAGCTAAAGGTGTAGGGAAGGTGGGGGGTAGGGGAAGGGTAAAAAGGGAAAAGAAAACAATGTGAGATAATGAAAAGATGGAAATAAAGTGGTTGTAGATGGAGAGGGGAGGAGGGGGTGAAGGGAGGGCAGGGACAAGGGGAAAAAATGAGAACCAAGACTTGTCATGTAGAGGTATAAGATCCCAACAATGAATGTAACGGTACTGTATCCCTAAAATGCACCAATAAACTCAATTAAAGTTGAAAAAAAAAAAAAGCAATTCCATTTATGATCACATTTACAACAGTCCAAAATAATTAAATAACCAGAAATAAAATAGCCAAATTAATAAGAGACTTGTACACTGAAAAACTATATTGCTGGAAAAATCAAAAAGTGATAGAAGTAAACTGAATGACAGTCCATGTTCACAGATTATAAGATAAAATTCTACTCATATGATCCGGGTTTATGCAATTTCTCAATATTCCAACAGTCCTTTTTTCCCAACTGAAAAACAAAAAACTGATTCTCATGTTCATATATTATTTCAAGGTATCTCAAGTAGCCAAAACAATCTTGAAAAAGAAGAAATGCTGGGGGGCGGGTGTCACACTTTCTGATTTCAAAATATATTACAAATATACCATGATCAAAATAGTGTGGGTCTGTAAAACCAGGCTGCACAGGAAACACTGCAAAGAATCAACAACTGGGACCTCATTTTATTAAAAAGCTTTTGCACAGCAAGAGAAACCACCAACAGAGTAAAGAGACAACCCGCAGCATGGGAAAAAATTTTATCAGCTATTCATCACAAAGTACTACTATACATGAAGAACTCCAAAAATTCAGACCACCCCCAAATGAAAAGACCCAATCCAAAAAAATAACCATCTGAAATGAAAAGACAATTCTCAGATAAAGAAGTAGAAACAGCAAATAAATATATAAAAAAATATTCAACATCGAGCCAGCATGGTGGCGCAGACCTGTAATCCCAGCACTCAGAAGGCTGAGCCTGGGCTACATAGTGATTTCTAGGTCAGTCTCAACTACACAGTGAGACCCTGTCTCAAAAAGAACCAAAAATAAAAATAAAAATAAAATAAACAATGCTGAGATTCCAACTCATTTCAAAAAGAATGGCTGCTATCAAATTAACCAATAACAAATGTTGGAGGGGCTGTGGCAAAAAGGGAACCCTTCTCCACTGTTGGTGGGAGTGTAGACTGGTACGACCACTGTGGAAATCAGTATGGAGATTCTCCAAAAAACTAAAACTAGATGCTGCATTTGACCGAGCTATCCCCCTTCTTAGTATCTTCCCAAAGTCAAAAGCATCATACCAGAGCAATATATGCACACAAATGTTTATAGCAGCACAGTTTGTAATAGCTAAATCTTGGAAACAGCCCAAATGCCCATCAACGCATGAATGGATAAAGAACATTTGGGTTTTTATACAATGGAATAACTCTGCCATAAAGAAGGATGAGCTTCAAACATATATAAATGGATGGACTTTGAGACCACTCTCTTAAATGAAAGAAATTGGACACATATGTTTAAATACCACATGGAAATAAGGACTAAAATGTATAACAGATATTGGGAAATGGGAAGAAAATGTTCAAATGGAAAGGGAGAAAGGAAGGGACAAGGAAAAAAAGTGAAAATAGGGCCCAGGATTTAGCTCAGTGGTTCCACCACCAGCCTTGCAAGCACAAGATCCCAAGTTTGATTCCCAGTACTTTAAAAAAAAAAAAAGTGAAAATAGAAGAAAAACTGAAACAATTTTTTTTTTTTTTTTTTTTTTTTTT